CATTCGCCAGCTTCTTATTTGAGTTTCCCATTCTGTCTTCAAAACATTCTGGAGCGTGTAACCGCTGCACCATTTAAGGTGGAATGGAAAATGTGAATACGAAGCTAACTTCAACTTCTTCCAAGGCAGCCTAATCATACCAGCTTTTTTATTTTAAATTTTTTATTTACATTTGTTTTTCATTGTGCTATATAGAACTACAGAAACCATTCCTGGTATTTTATACCATGAAATCTAACTGTGGTTCACCCCATATGTGACATCCTTAACTCTTAGTGTGAAGGCTTTTTTCTGTGTAACACACTAAGAGTACAGCGCTGCAGACCGATGAAATGTTCTAGAACAAACTTCTTTGGTCAATCTAATTTCAATAAACATGTGTTGGTTGTTGGCAAGTTGACTTAACTCTAAAGTATTTTGGGAGCTCGCTGCTTGTTGCCATACTCTTGGCCTGCATGTTCAAAACCCGCCGAATATTCCTGCATCAGCACACGCGCTCCGTCACACGTATAACCACACGCATTCGCTCGCATTCGTTTTCGGCACATGCATCCTCCGCCGCTCCAGCTCCCTCTCTCCCCCATTTAGGCTAAATTACTCCCTCGCTGCATGCGTTTCGCCAGCTCGTCCCCTCTCTCATCCCACCCATGTCATTAGGAGGCCTTTCGCGCGCTGCCAGTCGAGCCCCTCTCCATTTCCCCCCCCAACATCTGCACCGCTGCCTACTAATGACAGAGCTCAGCTGCAGAGTGGAAGCGAGTGAGCTATTAACGGAGAGAGGGCCGGAGAGATGCGCTGAGAGGAGCCTCACCGACTCCCAGCGGCCGCATGCTTAATCGATCCAATTACCCAGCCTCTCGTGCTGAAGCAGAAAACACCAGCAGGCCCCAGTACAGTTGCTAAAGTGAGTAGCTCCATGACAAGGGTGCTGCATGGAGACAGCTCTGGGTTAATGGTTCCTGTTGCTGTACAAAGCAGCTTCCTACAGCTGCGAGACTGTAATGGATTCTCTGTGCTGTTGAGCGCAGTTGCAATGAAGAATTTGAATTGAATTTACAAATCTAAATTCCAGGTAGTGCAAATAAAAACAGAAAGCAGTTACTAGCAAATGGCCTGTATTTGAACTAAAACAGTACAAAGACAAGATATTTAATGTTTTACCTTATCGACCAAAAAAGTTGTGAAGTAAAAATGTAGTGAAATGTTAACAAACCAAAAAAAACAGCAGTCATGCTTGGGTATAAAGGAGCATCCAGAAAAGGCCTCATCCTAAACAAGAATGGGTTGAGGCTCGCCTCAGCAGATAATTCAGCAGTTTAACAACACAGTTGTCCACCACAAGTGACTACAAGGATTTTAGATATTTCACCCCCTATAGTGCAAAATATAATCAAAAGATTCAGAGAATCCACAGAAATCTATGAATATTAAAAGGCCAGGCCAAAAACCACAACTCAATGTCTAATTGTGTTAATCACCTTTGATCTCTTAGACAGCTCTGCATTAAAAATAGCACACTTTTGTGAGGGACATAATCACATGGGCTTAGAAATACTTTGTCAATAAACACTGTTCTTTGCTACACCTACAAATTAAAGTTAAGACTGCACTACTTGCGGTAGAAGCCAAATGTCAACAAAAAACGCTGCCAACTTCTCTGGGCCTGAACTGATCTGAAATGGACTGATGTGCACTGGAAACATGTATTGTGGTCTGACAAGTCAACTTTTCATATTGTTTATGGAAATAATGAACCAAAGAAGTGAAGGACCATCGACTTTGTTACAAGGATAAAGTTCACAAGCTAGAGTCTGTCATGGTATGGGGTGAGTGGCACATCTGTAAAAGCACCATTAAGGCCAAAAGACATTTTGGAGCAACATGTGATGCCTTAACGTTCAGAGATGTCCATGCTTATTTCAGTTCCAACAGCCTGGCTCCATAATCAGGGAGTGTGAGTGTGACTGTCCTGCCTGTCCCCAATCGCATTGTGAAGCACAGAATACAACAACAAAAGCCCTGTATGGTCTCACATCTGAAGACTTGTATAACTAAAGAATGGCAAAAAATCCACTTTCAAACGGGATCAGTTTGTGTCTTCAGTCCCCAAACATTTTGTGCTTTTAGAAGGAAAGGTGATGTAACCCAGGGGTAAACATGCTCCTGTCCCATCTTATTTGGAACGTATTGCAGACATCAAATATGAAATGAGTATATAATATGTACAGTATTAGTGTGTTGTAATAGTGCTGAGTTGCGGTAGTTAGTGTTGAAGTAATTGTGTTGTAATAGTGATATTGTGTTATAATTAGAGTTGCATCAATACTGGCACTTAAATGCAGTATCTGTATCATGGACAGTCGGCGGTGTGGGGCGGCAGACAGCAGTAAAAAGGCAGAATCTGTACCGGCAGTTTTTGGCGTTAAGAACACGCTATCAGAGCCATTTACCCGAATAGCTGAGCTGCTACTTTCAGTAATCACTCATCTGACGCTGTGTGGTCACTTACAGTCTGAGTTGAACTTATTGAAAGAAGGGAAGGAACCGCCGGACTCTCTGCGTGATGATATCTCTTAGTCTTGATTTAGCCTTTAACATAGCAGCCCGCTAGCCGGGCCTATGCGTCCACTAGCCCCACCTGCGGTGCGCCTCCGTCAGTATCACTCAGCAGTGGGGTCTCGCGGCCCATCGCTTCAACCAAGCCGGAAAAGCCACTGAAAGTCGCTGATACTGACAGCGTGAGTGACGGTGATATCGACTGAACTGAAGCTCAGAGATGCAGCAAGAGTGAACAAGACGCACGTCTGAAACAAACAACTTGAGAAATTTGGATGCGAAGCAACATTCAGCTCCGTTTTTGAGCCAGAGAAGCTGCTGTGTGCTGATGTGTAAACACCACACTAATTATATGTTTAAGCAATAGAACACGAGAGGGAGTGTAGTATTGCGAAATAACATCACAGCTGTGATTTGGTCGTGATGTCTTGGTTGGTGATGTTACTGGCGATAACACACGACCTTGAGTGTTCTATTGCTTTTATACAACAGCCATAAATAAAGTGAGAAATTAATAAACTGGGCCGTGAACGCGGCGTTTAATATGTTTTAATGTTCGCAGTTCCTTCGGCCAAATTATAGTTCCTTAACAAGCAGCTTGTTGATGCGTCAGAGTAACGAGCTCCGCCCACTCGCTGCACAGTCTGCTGTAAGCCTCGCCTTTTGAAGTGCGGACTGAGCCATAAAACTGCCACAATATCAAGTTCAGCTCAGTTTTGTCAGTTTTTACCAGATCAGTATTGATGTTTTGTTCCAGCCAGTCTGTAAAGCATCTTACAGCCCATTTAGTTTGGCGAATGGTGTTGGGTTCATTTCTGGCTGATTCCAGGTTGTTTAGCTGTTCTTCTGTCACAGCTGCCGACTGAAAAGCTGCTCAGTGGTGATGATGGTTTGGGAATTTAGTGTCGTCTCATCTTCAGAGTCTGACCAAATCGGCTGTCGGTCAAACGTGATCTTAAAAGTATCCATTTTCTGTTTGCGGCAAAGTAAGAAGTAAAAACGTTCAAATGGCTTGAGCGTCTCCTACAGCTGTCAAAGTCGTTGCTAAGCAGCAAAGATTTTACCAAAATAAAATATTTAAAAAATGTAATTGTATAAATGTCAAGACTTATACGTGAGATAGGTTAGACAGAGTTAGTATCGGTATCGGTGCTCAGTATCGACCAGTACTAAAGGATCAGGTATCGGTATCAGAAGGAGAAAAGTGGTATCGGTGAATCCCTAGTTATAGCAGTGTTATTGTACTGTAATAGTTTCATTATGTTGAGTTACTGTGCTGTAATAGTGTTGTTGTGTTGGTAAACAGTGTTATTGTGTTGCAGTGATGTCATTCTGCTAGTAAATGTTCTTTCAGTGTGTGTTTGATACGTGTCCCTCCATCTAGCTGCTGCGTCTGCTGCTATTTTGAAAGGAAGTCTCTCAACAACATGCGTTTGGGCCACTAATGTACACCTGATTTTAAGAGAGGAAGAAAATTCCATGCGACTGGCTGCTGCTTAGCTAAGCTTTACTATATCGAGTCGCACTTATAATACTGCCACACTTTTTTGCACAGTCCTCCTTCAAATGCATACGCACAAGTAAGAGAAATGGCATATTTAGGCTTATGCACTTGAAGCATAAATGCAGAATGCATCCAATTTGCACCTAAAACTGCTGCAAAAGGCTCAGTACGTCTGTGTCTTAGTGCTCTCAGTGTCTTCATTATTGAATCCGTCTCTCTTTCTTTCACAGACTGTCCATCTGCTTTCTCCGTCTCCAGCCTCACTCGTCCTGCTGTTCGATCCCCTTCAGCGCTACCTTACCTATGTGCTCTTCATTTCCCACTCTCTCCATGTCCCGTCTCTCCCCCATTCTCTCCCTCTCTCCCATCTTTCATCCCATCTCTTTTTCCGGATGCCTCCGTGGACTCTTGAGTTGTAATGTGAGCAGGCGTAGGCGAATGATGGAGAGAGAGTGAGAGAGAGGGAGACAGAGAGAGAGAGCAAGCGAGGGGAGCAGAGTAGGCTCAAGGGAGGAGAGGGGTGAAGAGGGCCATAATAGCCAGCCAGATGGAGAGAGAGAGAGAGAGAGAGAGAGAGAGTGAGAGAGAAAGAGAGAAGGCGAGAGCTGCCCCACTTCACCCGTAATAAGGGAGAGTGCTTTTAAATGCCTATTCCACAGGCTTTTTCCAATTCAATTGAATTAACCCCTATTTCCCAGTAATTTGGACTCATGTTGTCATGGAAACGGAGTCAGAGCGATGGGATGCAGTCTGTCCCGGGACGGGAGAGAGTAGATTTGTTTGTGCGGCTTCTTAATCTTCAATTATCTGCAATATGGTCTATGACAGTGCAGTACAGTGATTCAGTACAGTGTTTCAACGTGATGTATTTGTGATGCAACTCTACTGTAATGATTTCGTTTATTTTTGTTTTATTTATTGATTTGTTTTTGTTTTACAGGATTTTCCCAAGGGAATACCTCCTACAGCACATTCACCTGTACTCGCTGGCTGACCTTCAGCAGGTGAGAGCTTCTCGCATGCTGACACTCTGTGTTACCATCGAACCTTGTCTCAACGGTGCTGTTGGTTGGTATAGTGTAGTTGGTAACACCTCTGCCTTCTACGCTGTAGACTGGGGTTCAATCCCTGGCCTGGGTAAGAACCCCACACTACACCAATAAGAGTCCTTGGGCAAGACTCCCAACACTACCTTCGTAATACCTGTGTAAAATGTCGCTCTGGATAAGAGAGTCTGCCCAATGCCGTAAATGTAAATGCTGTTCCTTGTGCATTTATACAAATACAAGGGTCGTTTCACCACCCTTTGTTTCCCGTCAAAAAAAAGCCATTAAGTACAAGTTATTAATTTTTCAGGAGATGTTTCTGAGGAGATTAGACATAAAATAATCCATTTGCATAAGGAAGGGGAAGGTGAAAGAAACAATGCGTGGAAAAACTAGAGTAAAATGGGACTCGTAACGACTTTGCAAGACCTGGTAGACCATCAGATAATATGTACTTAAAGCTTTCATCTTTGAGAGAGAGGAGAAAATCAAGCTGCTCCAGATCTGAAAACAACCACAGGTGTTTCTATCCATCCTTCCACTGTGAGAGGACGAATCAAGTAGCTCTTACTGTGAAAAGGAAATAGGCAAATCAAACAAAGAAGATACCGGTGTTCTCAGAGCGATGGGCTGTCCACCTACCAGGATCCAAACCTCAACATCACTGAATGTGTTGGGGATTATTTTGGTTGTGAGAAGCAGAAAATGTTAAACCAACTTCTAAGACTGAACTTTGGATGTGTGGAAATATATTCCTGCAGATAAGAAAAGAATGGAAGCTGTAATAAAGGCAAGGAATGAGCACATTAAATACTGAAAAATGAGTTTTATATATATATATATATTTATTTGTTGATACTTCTGGGTAATTTTCTGTTAAATATGTTTCCTGCTTTTTTTCCCGATTATAGAAAAGGAATATTTTGTACCTAATGGCCGTTTTGACTGGAAATGAAATAAACAAAGGGTAGTTTTTGAATTTTGCGCAGTACTTCATGCGTGTATTTTATAGATTTACGCTCTTGGCACTCTGCGTCCGGGCAGGTAGCGTTCTCCTGGCGTCCGCCAAGCCTCCACTCGTCCACGGCACTGCCAGACAGGTGAGGTCGGGCTTGTGTGTGCGGATGACCGACGAACAGCGCTTTTCTCTGCCGTTGCCTGCAGAGGCAGATTGGAGTTCGCTAGTGAGAGTCGCAACCGAAGACAGACGACCGTCGCCAGCGCTATGTGACCTTTGAGCCTCTCTTTCCATGGCTCAGGGTCGTCCAAGACGTTTCCGCTTCACAGTAAAAGCACAAAGAATTTGCCGAGGCACGTTGAGCAGGGCAGATATCTGACAAACACCATTGTTAAAAGGGTGGCACCATGTAACGCTGCCAGAGTGACCGTCACTGGGCTCATCGGTACGACCCACGCTTCTGCGAACGTTTGGCAGTGGAGAATACATGGCCAGGTCATTTACTAGGTTTTTGATGCAGTTTTGTGTACTACATAGAGTGTGAAGCGCTGATGATATTCTAAAGCCCATTTCAAACCAGACGCGGTAACCATGCCGCATGACACGCCACACAGTGCCGCATGCAGTACGCTCCTATAATTAATGTAATGCGGTAGCACACGCGTGAAGCGCAAGAAGACGCTTTGGGTCTATTTCTGACGTGCGCTGCGTGCGGCATACCAGAGGTTTCTGTGCAGGAACGGTAAAGAAATGCAATGTCTATGCTATAATGTACAGGTTAGTGTTGTCCTCTTCATATAGAGCTACATCACCTGGTGAGAAAACCAGCAACGGTTGAGGCAGCTGGTCAAAGTTTTATTGTTGACCTCGTTATGTCATCTACATATAGTGTATATGAGTAATAAACGGACAATACAGATGTTTATATTACGTGAAAATGCAACACAAACAGCAACCGCTCTTGCTTTGCAACGCATGTAAAACAAGCGTCGCGGCGTGGTTACGGATTCACGCGTGCTACGCCGCGTTTGGTGTGAAATGGCTTCAGCAAGTGCCTTCTCCATATTTCTGCACACTAATGGACTTAACTTGTGCTTGTACTCTTTTGATGAATTAAAAAATCCGCCACGTTTGTGCACTAAAGCAAAACCACAAACAGCAAGTAGGTCAGATCTTTAAAGTTGACGGACTGCCTTTCCAAACTTTTGTCACATGGCCAAGAACCACCTACTTTGATGAGAAGTGGCTATATGACTGATCTACAGAATGACCAGCCTCAAACTATTGCATAACACATAGGGGTGAGCAATTGTCAAAACAGTGCTATAACAAAGAGACCCGCATGAAACAAAGCAGTAAACAACGTCTCGCGGCCACCAAGAAATGCTGGGTCAGCTTCAAAACAAGCTATTTTCAACCCGGGCGACTATATAGGTTTGTTTTTGTCATGGTTTTGCAGAACAGGCACCTGCTTGCTGCTTGTGACTAGAAGGCATTTAGCTTGATAAAAGTATTTTTTATGTGGGCTGTTTTTTTTTTTCATCATTGATGTAGCAACATGTCCACATTATTTTCCAAGTAATCAGTTACTTGTACTCAAACACAAAGTTTGAAAAAAGCTCATCATCCCATTTTCCTCCCTCTTAACTGTTTTCTTTGCCTGTGTTTGTACCCTCTCTCTCCCTCCTAGCGGGAGGGTAGAGTCCCTTTGCCTGTTCCCTCCTGCCCAGCTAACTAATTAGTAGCATTCAGAAGCAACAGGCAGGAAAAACAAAGTGTGACAGGCCTTCATTTTTCCCCAGCGTCCCACTCCCTGACACCACCTCCCTCGCTCTTTTTTTCCCCCTTTCTGCATCTCTTCCCCTCTCTCTGTCTCCGTCTAACTATCTGTCTGTCTCCCTTTATTCCTCTCCCATTCATGTCCAGGCCTTACATCTGACTGACTGAAGAAATCTGACCAACTTTGAATGGTATTCAAAAAAGCCAAACTCAGATTTGAGTTTACAGGGTTCTTCTGTTAATGTTTTCCTCTGAGAAACTGACATTGGCTTTGCAAACTCTCATACAATGGGCCTTTCCCTAAAAAGAAAAAAAATCTGAACAATGTTTCACTAGTTCGCAGTGCTCCATTCACATTTCGCATGCTGCTGTGTATTTTTTTCCCCCCATTCTTGTCGTTCACTGCCAGGCCTTTTCTTTATCTCCTCGCTGACTTCCTCAGCCTCAAGGAAGTCTGCGCATTTCTCATTCCCGTCACATCGCTCTCTCTTTCAGGGTCTTAATTGGCTTACCTTATTAAGGAGCCATTTTCTTTTAGCGGGTCTGCTTAATGCCAGGTCCTTTATGGCCCTGGAATGCTCTCCCTCCATGTCGAGGTCACTGAATGCTGAACTATCTCCAAGTAGACTCCAACAACTCTATAGACCCAAAGCACATGCTCTTGCCTATTCACTTACAACAAACAGCTACCAGTTTAGGGCTGTCTTTATTTGGGGGGGAAAAAAATCATCAAGCCCATTGGCCATATTTGTTTGCCTAAGACTTGCCCAGGAACTGGCCTTGTTTGGCCACTGGCTTTTGTTGGGCTTTACAACTAGAAGAGACTGAAGAGTGCCCAAAGATGGCCCGCATGAAGAGTGCCATATAAATGCTAATTGTTTTGTGCGCATTGTACCAGTTGCAACTGCGTTAGCCTTTGCCAAAGACCTATAAACAACTGGAGGAGGGGGACAAAGGGGCATTCAGCAGACTTGGGGCATCACGCACAGACGTGCGGAGTTGCAGATTCTCACACAGACTCCCCGGTGCGCTTGCTGGCGAGCTGGCGAGCTGTCAACCCTCACGACCACTCGGGATACCACAAGCTTTCCTTCCTTGCAGATCTGCGTTGGGTCTCCTGTTCATTTGTGCACTATTAACGAGCACAAACATCATCACAGTGATCCTGTGTTGGACGTTAGGTGTTAAAACATCCCATCTCTGCACCGTCAGCTCCAGGCGGTGGGCCGAGTTGTGAGGTCTTGTGGCGTCATAGGAAAAGGCTCATTACCGATAGAGCCCCGCTTCCCTTCCCTTCCTCTCTGACATATTGTGACACATGACTTGCATGGTCGAATGTGATCAAATGTTCCGTATACGTGCAGTCGTCCATCCGTGCTTTCATTTCATTACATTCCTTTGTCCAGATACGTGTACCCTCAAACTTGTCTTGCGTACCCACATGCACACACTCTCCCGCTCTCCCTCCCTTGCCCACACACTTCCTTACACGCTGGCTCACTGGTGGTAATCCTGTTTTGCCAGGGCTTGGCGGGGAGGGTGTTATCCAAACAGAGCTCACCCTCTTTTTATCTGTCTAATCCGGGCCCTTTCTCTGCCGGTTAATGGAGCAGGCGAGGACATTAGGGCCCGGGATGAGGAGGGGATAAAGCAGCGCGCGTTAAACAGCGGTTTTTAGGGGATTAGGCAGCGGACAACAAAGCGCATGCGGGACAGAGCCGAGAGGTGGGGGGTCGCGAGGCTCAAGCAGCGGCCGGCACCTATGCCATTAGTCTGTAAATTGCAGTCAACTTCTATTGTATCTTAAAAGCTGATTTCAGCAGCATTTGACCACTTTTGAAAGTACAAACTACGTAGAAACCATTTAAACCTTTAAACCCTCTAAACTCCCTAAAAATCTCAAGAGCTACAAGTTTCAAGTGAGTTACAAGACTGAGGAATGAATATCTGGACTCACAGACAGGTTCTTAGACCAACCCTGTTTGGTGTGGACCAATCAAACGTTTTCCTTTAGTGACCTGTTTGAACACTCTACCCATACTCGGTTGCATACCCAACAATTGATCGCTAAACCAGTTGATCGGTAGAACTCAAGTAAGGTTCATTTGTATTACTCTGAGATTGATACAGCTAGATATTAAACACAGGATTAGTTACAGAGATTAAATACATGTTTTTTCATGAGGCTTATTATTGGTCATATACTCTTCAGGCCCATGTTCTCTGCCTTAGCTTGGTGTCAGTAAGTTACAGTGAGCGTATTAACAGCTCCCCTGTTCCTCACCACCAGGGCAGGCTCAGGCTCACCACTCCTCTGCCCCAGCTAAATTATTAAGACGCTTAATTACTTCTTCTGTCAGAGTTGATCAGGGGCCATATATATCATTGTTACCGAGGCGACGGCGAGCGCACTAGCTCCCGCCACTTTGATTGCTGGGCTGCAGCGGCCCCCTGACACCCAGCAGTGTAATTCTCTGCTTAGGTTCCGGCAGCAGAGATCCTTGTGGGCGGAAAGAGAGGTACCGCCTCTGGGCTTTTCCCAGGATGGATACTATGTGTAAAATGAAAGTTGCCTGGTGAATGAATCATTATGGGCTCCCCTGTTGGATGGAGCTTTCCAACATTCTGTATTTAGATGTCTGCTGTGTGGCTTTGGGGATACTAGTAATTTTTAAAAAATCTTTTGGCTACCAAGATGCAACAGATTTGGATTTGAACATGGATAGGCAACACCAAAACTGGAGTGTAGGGAGGTAATGACCACATTTTGAAGGAATTTAGTTTCTTAAGATTGACAGATGTAATATTTGGGTTGGTTTTGCTTATATTAACATTTAACATTGCTAAAATAGTGTTTGAGCAGCAGTCGACTTTTTTGCACCATCGGTTCCAGAACGAACCAAGTGACCTGTACAGTATTTGGATAGTCCCTCTGCATAGGCACAAGGCACTAACCCAAGTGAATGAGTTTGTTAAGTAACCAGCTGCTGAAGCGCATGCTGGGCTGTTCCTCTTAGTTCCTGTCTCAGACTCACGACTGCAATGCTCAAACTCCCCCTCGCCCACACAAGCCCTTTTCAACCTTCCTCACTTCACTCGTGTATGTGTGTGCGCATGTGCTTCGTGGGAGACTGTGGTGGTCCCTCCTTTTATTCTTTCTCCTTCCTCTCCCCATCCACCCAGGCCCTCTCTCTCTCTCTCTTTCTCTCCCCACTCTCTCTCCAGCCATTCTTCGGCCAGCTCCTTGTGGAAGCGCTGAAGAATGCTGTCAGGCCCTTTAATTGGTGCGCCACAGCGCTGCCAGGTGTAGCCACTTGTCTCTTCCCCCTCGGTGAATATGCACTGGAGGTCCGGGCCCCTTCCCCTGGCCCATTCAGCGGCCCACAATGCGCCTTCTTCAAACCTCTGCTTTCAAAGCCCAATGCCGATTTTTAACTACTGCGGCCGGTAAATGGCATTCACATATTATTTTTTGCAAACGGTCTTCCAAAAGGAATTACCCCGCTCTCCCACCCACCCTCGAGCCCTGTCCAGCCCCCTCCCCCACCCCTCCAACCCCACAAGCATTCATTAGTTTTGATCTGGATTCCTGATGTGAACTGTGGCTCTTTTACCTTGGTTCCCATTGGGCCCTGGTTTGAAAAATCTCAAATACTGGGTTTGCTGGAAACTATACCACACATGGCCAGTTTATGTACATGTGTCTTACAAGAAATTGGCATTCAATTACGTCACGTTGATATAGTGTCACAATTGCAGGACTTTCTCACAGTGTGGAGCAAAGAAACTGATTCTGTCTCAATAGCAATTTGGTGATTCTTGGCTGATGCAGAGTACCAGTCCGATACCAGTGCTAAGGTACCACAATGGACACTTATTAAGTGACCTTACGGACAGTGTTTCTCCAAAATTTGCCATCTTCCATTGGGGTTTTAGACTTCTTATTGGCTTGTTCATGATTCTTCTCATGTGTAATTGTCATTTCTAATTAACTGGCTCTTCTTATCATGTGTACAAAATAAAAAAGCTTCATTTTGGTTATCTGAGTTTTGATTAAGAGGTAAAGCTTGATTTGGTCAAGAATCCATTGTTTTTTTTGTTTTTTTTTCGTCCAAGATACTCTCAAAATTCTTCACCAACAATAAATTTCAAAAGCGTCTCGTTTTTCCCTGTCCCGCCTTTTTATTGTCTAGCTAGACCACGGCCTGGAAAATTCAGATCTTTGTTTGTAGAAACACATCTTAGCATTTGAAGATCTGTTCTGATGAGTGTTCAATATATCAGTTCATTGTATCACCATGCTTTCTCACTCAATCTCTTTTTTTTCCCTGTCCTTCTCTCCTCCATACAGGTGATCGATGGCAAGCTAGCTCCCTTCCTCTCCAAAGTGATTAAGTTCGCCAGTTCTCATGTGTACAGCTGCAGTCTGTGCCGAGAGAAGGGTTTCATCTGTGAGCTCTGCCATAACGGCCAGATCCTCTACCCTTTCCAAGAGAATGCCACCAAGAGGTCAGCTCCTCTGTTACTCACCATCAGCACATTTTAAAACCAACATGCCGGATATTTAATTGATATTCACGCACCATCCACTTTATTGGAAACACCAATTTTGTACTTCCACTCAGGGGCCGTTTTATGTGGTCCGCCTACCTCGTAGGTCCACTATATAGGGTCACAATCACAGTCTGTAGCCCATCTGAACAATTTGTCAGCCACCCTCAGCCCCTTTCAGCATTATTCGGGACATTATTGATGAGACAGTATTTGGATGGTGGACCATTCTCATCACTAATATGAGTGTACCAGGTTCAGCAGTGTTGCTGAGGTTCATACATGTCAGGGTCACTGCTAGGTTAAGAGTGGTCCACCACCAGCTTAGAGTGGCTCTGTGTTCAGAAACCAACCATTCATGAAGGGCTAGAGGATAGCTAAACTGAATCGTGCATCAGCAGATTGGCTGTAAGCAAGGTGCGGCTTCAAGTTGGGAGTCTAATAAAGTGGACAGTGAGTCTACAGAAGCATTCAGTACAATGTAGTGCTTAATCTAAAGTTATTCCAGTCCTATGTCGTATTTACCGGTGGTAGTGACCTATCCCACCAGCCTGCACTGGAAATTTTCTCATGAATTCTTCAAGGACCTTGTGACAACTCAGCCGCTGCTGTCCTCTGTTAGTCACACCCTGGTGGCAATGGCATGGTGGCATGTCCAGGCTCCATAGCTCAGACAGGGGCATCCAGTGTCAGAGCACAGTTAATCCCCACAGTGCCTTTGCACCTCTCCTACTGATAAGACACATTCTAGACTTTTCACCATCAGCGTGATGTCCGACCAGCCTGGATGAGCTCTGCCTGTTGGATAGCAGCATAAAGACCTTGTGAGCTGGATAAGTTGACTGCTAAGTTTGATTACAATTAATTGTGCAGGGAATCACTGATATAGACTACAACGAAGTGTAGTTTTAAGTAGTTTTTGATGGTATTTTTTAAATGTGGCACTAGTCCTGCTTTTTTTTCTGTTTCAACTTTTTAAACTTTAGAAAAACAAAATATTGTCATATGTATCATGTGTTATAAAAATGAAAAAGTATTGGGACATCACATTTTCGCCCCTAATTTTAAGATAAGCTAAGACAAGACCAAGATCCAGACCAGCATATATCGGGTAAATCCACCTCAAATCACCAGATTTCAGAAAAAAACGGACCTAACTGATCACTTCAGATTTTCTCAATACTTTCAGGAAATATAGAGCAGAGCTACCCAAAGTTGGCCCTTGAGGACATTTGATTAGGTCCACCAGAAAGTCATCCTAACCCTACACCTACCCCTACACCTGCCCTGCACCCAATGGGATTTAAAACATGTTTTTATACTGTCTAGAACTTAGTACATGGTGTATTTTGTAAGTACTTTGGCAAGAAAAATGTATAATGTTATAAAATCCTTTTTTTACACTTACCTGCCTTCTTTATTTATAGGCTGGTTTGTGATTTTGGCCCTTGGCCAACCACAAGCATTGCACTTAAAGGCTTAAAAAAAGTTCTTCAGTATAAACATAGAAACCCAAAGTTTCTCTAACGTGCAAAAAGTGTATTTCTTCCAGGTTTTTAGGAAGCCATCATTTGGCAAGCATGTATCTCAGGATCTTCAACCACACTTAGAGCCAAAAATCATCTCTGAAAATGTAATGCATTACAGTAGTTTAGATCTGCACCTTTTCTACATTATTCATTTTATGCCAGAAACTAATGTCACACCCATCTATTTAGAGCCCCCATATCTCAAAATACTAAAGAAGATACAACCCTAAGTTTTGCACACAGTTATTTCCTGAAAGTGTTGTGCAAATGTGTCATGGTTGACTGGGGAGGCATTCAGTGACTTCACATAGATTGTTCTTGAATTCACACAACAGTATGTAAGTGGAGTTAATGTCATTTCCTAGGGTGACCATCTTCCAAGACTGACGGTTAAGTCCAAGGCCTAGACCATGACCTTGAAACTATGACCATAATGAGAAGGTTGTAATGCTGACACATTCCAATAAATTCTGAATGACAGTCATGACCATGTACATGAACATCTGCCCAACATTAACCGCCAGACAGTTTTAACTGTATGCAGGTGTGAGAGTAACAAACCTGTTGTGTGTTGTAATTTTGAAGGTATCCAAAGCTTTATGGGTGTGTTTTTACATCGTGGCTGTAAAGATACAAGCTCGCTGGCAAACTGTTGCGATATGAAGACACTGTTAAGGCACTAACAGTATTTAATTGCAGCAGAAGGTGTCTGCACACCCTACTGTAAACTCATAAACACCTGCTCCTCCTGCTCGCCACGCTGATTATCCAGCACATCCACCTGCTTTTTGAGTACTTTATGGTCTCTGGTGATGGAACCTTACGATAAACTGGGGCTGATTACGACAATGCAGAGATTTGTAGTAGACGTTGACCCCATATTAGTGCTCTGAGGAACGTGTGTCAAATGCCTTAGTTTCAATATAGTACACATTCACCACTAACATGCACTTTGATGTGAATGGGTGGAAATGTGGGTTTGTCTGTTCAGAATTTCTGTCCAGAATTTTGCTTTGAAAGTCACTTGCTGTGACTTTACGCTCCAACAACTTCCAGTCATATTTAGCAGCCAGTGGTTACAGTTTCTTGCTAATGTCCACTCTGTCAACAACAAGGTAGTGCAGGACACATAGCATGCTGTTTAATGTGATGTTCACACTGTACAAATAAAACATCTAATCCATTAACAAGCTGGGCTAAAATCAGACACCCTGGCTACTCTCAGATTTGGAGGTACTTGCCACCCTCTACTTAGCCCTACATTGAAAGTATTATCCTAGACTCACTTTATGAGTAATTATGGGTGAACATCCAGATCTTCCTGTCCACGTTCCTGCACAACCTCTTCATACTGTCTGCCTTTTGCACTTCCCCAGATAATCTAATGTAGAGAAAGTTCAGTGTCATGAGGACTGAGGATTGAGCCTTGAGGAACCCCACCTGTTTTGAAGAGGAATTCATATTGATGACAGAATCATATTAATAATCGAAAAATAATCGGATAATAATTATGTCCACTCTGTCAACAAGTTGTGCAGAACTTCTGCATTTTCACTGAAACATCCCTGACTCTATTCAGTTGAACAGGCTAACCTAGACCTGCGCCTGGTGACAGTTAACCAAGTGACATTTACCTGTCATTCCTTTATTGATTTATTTCATGCAAACCCTAGAAAGACACTAGTATCCCCACACATGAACATATCTGAACTTTTAAGCATGTTGTTTAATGTGATGTTCATATTTATTGTTCCCAACATAGATTAATATTGTTCTAGAAACATGTCTGTGCTGGATAAACATGCTCAGGGCTTCAGGCAGATATCATGCCTGTACAAAAAAGACATGTATGGTATGGTTTACGTTTTAGGACATTCTCAGACCACAGTGTCAGATTTCAGTCATTAGGCAAAACAGCTTTGGTTCTCAGGAAAAACATGAGTGAAAACATCATGCAAAACAGGCTGTTATGGTTACTTTAGATATGAAGCCATCAGGTTGAGTGACCACAAACCCTCAAACGGTAGAGTTTGAGTAACATAATAATAATAATAACAGTGTGAATTAATAATTCATCCATCCATCATCTAAACCGCTTATCCTTCTGGGTCGCGGTGGGGTGCTGGAGCCTATCCCAGCTGTCGTTGGGTGGAAGGCAGGATACACCCTGGACAGGTTGCCAGCCCATCATAGGGCAGTCAGACAGACATAGACATTCACACCTAGGGGCAATTTAGCACGTCCAACTGGCATGACTGCATGTTTTTGGACTGTGGGAGGAAACTCCACACAGAAATGACCCTGGTCACCCGGGCCCGGAATCGAACCCAAGCCCTTCTTGCTGTGAGGCAACAGCGCTACCCACTGTGCCGCCCTGAATGAATAATTACTGTGCTATATTTTTTTTTATTTGACAAACATTAAGCATTAATTCATACACCATTACTGTTTGCTTCCCCGTCCACTTCAGTGCCAGGGACCGTCTCAAAATTAGCGAACAAAAAAGGTAAAGCAACTGTTGAACCATTTACCTTAGTTACTTTCCACAAAGTTACCCAAATAAGAGGACTTCCCAGTACAGGCCTAAGCTAACCTTATGATGTTTTGCGTTACATAAAGCCGCTTTACCTGTGCTTGTTTGTGGCATAGTGGATAAAGGTTATAACAAAACTCATAAGAATTTCACTGGTATACCGGATGGACTGGTATATCGGCCACTACTAACGATACCGTGTTTGCAATGTCCAGGCATTCGTAGTGACTCTGTTTGTTGATGTTTCCTCAGGTGCGAGGGCTGTGGAGCCGTCTTCCACGCTGAGTGTCGAATGCGGGCACAGCCTTGTCCTCGCTGCGTTCGCCGAGAGCTGCACAAGAAGCCTCCTTCCTTCTGGAAGAGACACAACCACTGCGAGAACGCAGATGACGACCTCCTGAGCTGCTTCGAGCTGGACACCTGAGCTGGGCAGCCTCCGCCCTCCAGCTGTTCCAGCAGACCCACCACCAGCCCAGAGCTGTTGCTTCTGCTGCATCTCTCTGTGTGTGCGCAAGACTCCATGAGCGTGGAGCCCTGCGGAAGAGCGCTGTGTTTGCCGACAAGGAACAGAAGGGTCTTTTTGTTTTCCTTTTTCAATCGACTCTCTCCAGAGACTCTCTTTCCGCAGACTCTTTCTCTCTCTCTCTTTCCCCTCTTGGTCGCTCTCACCTGAGAGATGGATACACAGAGACAATACTTCAGTCCCTGAAGAGGAGAGGTTTCATAATGATACCAATTTGCCCTCGCCTTTCATCTACCAAATGACAGCCGGGCCAACCGACAAATGCAGACCGAGTGGAGTGCGCTCACATACTGGCACACGTAAACATGCTCTCGTAGTCTGACAACAAATAACACACTTGGTGGTGGGGGGGGGGACCCAAGGCCAATAATTCAAGCAATTTTCTCTGCACAAATAAAACATCTAATCCATTAACAAGCTGTGCTAAAATCAGACATCCTGGCTACTCTCAGATTTGGAGGTACTTGCCACCTTCTACTTAGCCCTACAATGGAGGAGTCGAGAAGTATTATCCTAGACTCACTTCATGAGTAATTATGGATGAACATCCAGATCTTCCTGTCCACGTTCCTGCACAACCTCTTCATACTGTCAGTCTTTTGCACTTCCCCAGGTAAACCAATGGAGAGTAAGCTAATGTCATAAGGACTGAGAATTGAGCCTTGAGGAACCCCACCAGTTTCGAAGAGAAATTCATATTGATGACAGAATCTTATTAATAATCAAGAAATAATAGGATAATAATAATAGGATAACAATTAAGAAAAATCCCGGATTGATGGAGAGGTTGAGAAGTGTTGTCCTAGAGTCACTTTACGAGTGACTATGGATGGACATCCGGATCTTTCTCTTCACTTTCCTGCACAGCGTCTTCATACTGTCAGTCTTTTGCACCCCAGATAAACCAATGGAGAGAAGGTTCAATGTCATAAGGACGGAGGATTGAGCCTTGAGGAACCCCACCTGTTTCGAAAGGGAATTCGTATTGATGACAGAATCTTATTAATAATCAAGAAATAATAGGATAACAATCAAGAAAAATCCCGGAATGATGGAGAGGTTGAGAAGTGTTTTTTCCTTGAGTCACTTTGTGAGTGACTATGGATGGACGTCCAGATCTTCCTCTCCACATTCTTTCACCATCTCTATGATTTTCTCTTCAACCTGTCAGTCTTTTGCACTTCCCCAAACAAAACAATACCGAAAAGCTCAATGCCATAAGGGTTTAGGACTGAGCCTTGTGGAACCCCCCACCTGTTTTCAAGGAAAATATCATAAATTATTATCTTGTAAATAGCTATATCTTGTATATAGCTAAATCATGCAGCCCTATGAAGCAAATGGCAGCATTGGCATGTTGTCCTGTACAGCTGCAACTAAAGTTTATCACTGTTCAGTGGCACTGGCTACATGCAGCTGAGCCTCGATCTCCTTTGCCAACCTCTGGGTCGCTGATTACAAACTAACTCTTAGCCACAAGGTCCCAAATTATAGTCCCTAGCTCTGGGGCTTTGTTTAGCATTGGTAGGGCCTGTTTAGCGAAGAACGCAAAAAGAAAATCCATCCGCTGATGGCCTCGTTACTCACGTCGACCGACCGACCGCTGCTTTGGATCCATATCAGTCGGGCCTCTCCCCGGTGTGCGTTCACACTCCGTTTTCCGGCTACTTGAACTAAGCATTGGCAATAATGTCTCACTCATCTTGCTTTTGCTGCCTTATTTGACCTCTCACTTCTCATCGTTCTTTTCCAAAGGGACAAAGCTTTGACAATGCAGAATGATGCTCTTGCCTGAAATTCTTTACCTTTCCCCCCCCTATGCAAACTAGCCAGGCTAAGTGACCTTTATGAGCTCAATCTAAAATCCCCGAACCCCACCTTTCTCTTACTGCTTCCCTTGGAGGAGAGGCCAGTGCAACTCTTGGCTCCTACTGGACACCTTACCAGCAACACGAATTCCTTTCGCTCTAACCGTGTAGAAGTTCATACAAAACCATGTGTGCATCATCATGCGTAGGGGACTAAGTGATTGATGCTGGATATTGTGAAGACCTTAAAGGATACTTGAAGGATCATTAAAGGATAACGAAATATTTATTGTTCTTAGTGCACAGTAATGACCGGTAGAAGAACTCCAGACGCTGTAAAGGAACAATGGAGTCCCCTCATAGGCCGATCATTGGTCCTGCGAAATGCAGCTAGGTCAACGTGGAAGTTCACCTTTTGTTACCATATTGAATTAACATGTTTATGTTTACTGCTCTGCAAAACAGTTGTTTACAAGAACTGTTTGTTTTTTTTTCTGATATGATAGAGCAGATGTGCTCACTTGAATGCAGCTTCTTTCTTTTGTGACATTTGCACCAAGAATAATTTTGAGGTCACGTGCGGATGGCTGTACGTATGTTTGGTTGGAAGTACAGTGGAGAATTGAAAAATAATTGTTGCTCAGAATTTCATCCTATTTATTAAGTCTGTCTCTCTATTGTACACTTTGCCTGCCTTAAACTGAAAGTCAGTGCATCAGTCCGTTGATATTCTCCTGTTCTTGTACTTTAGTATTGCAGTTTGGGCAAATAGGTTTTCGCTACATAATCTTATAAGCAGAGCAGACTAAGATAATAAAACCTTTATCTATTGAAAATTATTCATCATTCCAAGTTAATATCAGGGCCTAACCCTTAACTGACCCTCAGTAACAGTTGTGAATGTGGTATCGGCCCTTACTGTGAGGTCAGGGAAGTTGTTTCGTTGTCCAGATTTAGACTGCAGTCATTCAGGGTTGTCTAGTCCTGATTAGATTATCAAAACAAAGGTCATAAGAGTGTGTATCGCTTTGCTGTTGATGCTACAATGCCTTCAGAAAATCTGGGGCCGTATTACAGAAACATCCCAGCTCAGTCACCATGACGACTTCAGGTAGGATGGAATTTAGGAGAACAGCAATTAGAGATTAAGCTTATCCAAACAAAGGCATTCTAACCAGTCAGAATTTTCTAAAAACTAGGTCTGTTTTAACGTTAGCTTTTCTGTTCAAAAGAGAACGTTATTGTTTTTAGGCAGCCGTAACAGGAAACATAATACTCTTTGGTCAGATACTCAAATGCATGTTGGGGTTTTGAAAGAGTACTCGAGTACTCTTTCTGGATATCACCCTTAAAGTCACCCATAATATTTACATTTCATAATTGACCATAGTTTTAAGTATCTTCATTCGTTTTAATATTCAGTAGAGTTTTCCAGGTTTCGGTTTATAGCAATTCACGCATTTATACATCCCTGATGATGGACTTAACGAGCCTAAACGATGCCTAGAGACAGATGTGCTCTTATGTTATGTCAGATATGGAGACAGATGAGTCTGAATGGATTTTTGCTTACCCTAAAAGGTTTAAGATGTACGTTTGTACTAACTTCGTATAGATTTACGGCCATTTGTACTGTATAGGAATCAGCTAAACCGTGTAGCTAGCCTGCTACCTCTGTTTGTTAGCTCTGTGGCGGCTAAACGAATGACACGCTCGGCGTCTTCACCTGAACATCATTCAACAGTCAAAACTACAGCCAAACAAATTAACATGTATTTCTCTCTGTTTAAACATGGCTTCCTGTTTTAATATCTTTCACTAACTTAGCTTGCTTTAGTCTTACAAAGAAAACGAGGGGTGGGGACAGTATGTACTGTTTAAAAATTGTGATTTTTCCTGGTTTTATGAATAAAATAAATCGGCCTCCAACTCTGAATTGGCAGGAATTCATGAGAGGGTCCTAGAGATCAGGCAGGGTATAATAAAGGGTTAACAAAAGATGAAACTGCCACATACTGAACAAGGAAGGAACTATCAACATAAAGGAAAACTCAAGGTTTTGAATTCATTGCGCCAGAATTGCTAGCATAAATGCTGCTTTCACTTAAACCTTATGAACACTTATGTTGCTCTGTAGTTCTGACTCGTGTTTTTTACGTGGGTAGCTCTGTAGCTAACTTATATTTGCTATTTTGATTATGTTTTTGATTCTCCACTGTTTAGGCATCACCCGTTGCTTGGTAACAGACATAACAATTGATTATCAGCCTTGATTGAGTAGTTTAGGATGTCCTAACTTGAGATTAGGTGCTGTAAGATAAGACACAACTCCTAAATTAAGATAAGATTTGCTTCTGTCACATAAATTTCTAAAAACATCTTTTTTTGACCTTTTCCGTTTTAATTTAGGGCTAAAGGTACGTTTCTGTAATACGGCCCACATCTTTTTTGCTGCGGTCGGAACAAAACCTTGCATCTCCATTTTTGACATAATTAGAAAATGCCTGTTGTTCTTTATGTTGTATGTAAATTTCATGATGAATGGACCAACCGAAACAGCCCAAAATGACTTGGAAAAAAGTCTGGTTCCATTGACTTACATTAAAAGTAAAGTAAGTTTCTCCTTCTCCTGTAAAGTTACCATTTTGGAGATACGAGGTTTTTGTTCTGACAGCAGCGTTCTGCTCTTAACCAATCACGATTCCAGAATAAAGGAGCCAGTTTGCACAGGACGCTTGGTGTAACCAAAGGGTTTGAATATCTGCCATTCTATAAAGCTCCCAAACACGTTTCACAGCAGCACAGTGGCTGTATTAATGTGACACTTTCTCTGAAATATAATGCTTAGCATTGTTCATTGACATTGTTGGGAAACATTGTGCTAGCTGGTCAGAACAAAGCTCCTCTGGCTCTGGCTAGCCGAATTACCTCCTGGCTTTCTATTAGAGCTCTTATTTGTTTCCAGTTGTAAATGCTTGAGTGATCTGAGCTGGACTTGTACTTTCGTAGGCTGAGCTGAGATGGTAGGATTAATTGTGCACATACAGCCTGTTTGCCTTGACGGTTGGAAGTATTTGTTGACTAGAAGGTAATTGAACTTGTATTATTAGCACTGTTGTAATGTTACATTCAGGGATTTTAAAACACACTGGAAAGGGAGGGTGGTGAAGGGAACGGGACCTATTAAGGGAACTGGACATACTTATTATTACTCATTCAGTGCACCAAATGTTGTCTTTTTCTTTTTTTTCACTTTATTTGTTGCAGCTCATTTTGTCCACCATGCTGTGCTATATCTCAAATATCCATATCAGCACATGATTTTATTGGTATTTATTATATTTATGTTTGTATTTATGTTCAATGCGATTTGACTGTTTCCGGGCCGGATTCTGGATCTTCTTCCCGTTCTCTCGTATCCAAAAGCTCTTATACCACAGACGACCTCTTATGCAAGTACAGAGAGATTTTGTGTTTCAGTATTAGTTCCTTCCTCTTGTGTTTTGTTTTTGTTTGTTTTTTGCCACTGATGCCAATAAAGCGAGTTACTTAACAAGTCCAGGTCCTCGTGTCGTGTGAAGAGTTAATCCGTAATCTGGATTAATCCCAGATTCGGTGCAACAGAGCTAGAACTGTGCCCGAATTAGCTTCTTTCCTGATCTGGGTCCAAGGTGAGTCCGCTATCCCGACTGGAACAAATGTATCACTGCCTGCGTTCGAGCCCTGTAAACGACCCTGGCGACGTTTTCCTTTTGGACCTGATGGCAGACCAGAAAGGGGTCCAAGCACTGACTCACTCGCTAATCCCAAATTAAAAACCACAAGCTTGTATCGGGTTCTTGACTTGTCAGAGACCACAACACGAGGCTTGTAATTTCTTGTAAACTGATGCATTTTGGGACGGACTTTTTGTACTAACTTTTGGCTCATGAATATATTTGATTAGCGAGGCTTCGACCCAAATGTTTCTTTACATGCAGAAGTTTGTAACACCGGTCAGGTTAGACATTTGGTTGACTTTAGAAGTGAAGAGACGCATCCTCTACAGGAAACAAGCTTAAATATGACATTTTTTCAGCAAATTTCAGTGCACCGTTTCTATTTATATTCTGAATTCGACATGTTGGAAAAAAATAAAACATAAAATATAAAATGTGTCATAACTTTTACACAAGCCACATTTTATGGTCTTATTTTTCACTTTTAAATGCAGCAAATAAACATTAAAAATGTGCAGAAGTGTTCTCTGTAGAGGACGAGTTCACTTATTTTCACTTAGAAAACTCCACTTACTATATAGGTGCACTTTGTAGTTCTACAGTTACAGACTGTAGTCCATCTGTTTCTCTGCAGACTTTGTTAGCCCCCTTTTACCCTGTTCTTCAGTGGTCAGGACCCCCATGGACCCTCACAGAGCAGGTACTATTTGGGTGGTGGATCATTCTCAGCACTGCAGTAACACTGATGTGGTGGTGGTGTGTTAGTGTGTGTTGTGCTGGTCTGAGTGGATCAGACACAGCAGTGCTGCTGGAGTTTTTAAACACCTCAGTATCACTGCTTGACTGAGAATAGTCCACCAACCAAAAATGTCCAGCCAACAGCGTCCTGTGGGCAGCATCCTATGACCACTGATGAAGGACTAGAGGATGACCAACACAAACTCTGCAGCAGCAGATGAGCTATCGTCTCTGACTTTACATCTACAAGGTGGACTGACAAGGTAGGAGTGTCTAATAGAGTGGACAGTGAGTGGACACAGTGTTTAAAAACTCCAGCAGCACTGCTGTGTCTGATCCACTCAGACCAGCACAACACACACTAACACACCACCACCACATCAGTGTTACTGCAGTGCTGAGAATGATCCACCACCCAAATAGTACCTGCTCTGTGAGGGTCCATGGGGGTCCTGACCACTGAAGAACAGGGTAAAAGGGGGCTAACAAAGTATGCAGAGAAACAGATGGACTACAGTCTGTAACTGTAGAACTACAAAGTGCACCTATATAGTAAGTGGAGCTGATAAAATGGACAATGAGCGTAGAAACAAGGCAGGTGTACCTAATAAAGTGCTTAGCGAGTGTAAATCATAATGTATATTCCTTCTACTCATTGTGAGGAATCAGCTCTTGAAACAGTTTAATGTCTCAAAAAGTTCCCTCAAAAAACCTATTTAACTATTTTACCATCAACACTGCATATAAGCTCAGAAGACTCGTGTAGGTTCACTGGTGGTTCTGGATAGTAAATAAAATGTCTATATTTGTGTTGTAGTCATGGTGACCCCTGGTTCCTATCAGCACCACTGTAAAGAAATCAGAGTCTGTAAGTTTCTACAATGAACCATTTCACACCAAACCACTCTGAATGACTCTGTTCACATCCTAATGATGTCATTATTCCGAAGGTGGAATTCCCCTTTAAGTAATCTGGACTAGACTTGCTTATGTGGTCTATATAAACATGGGCAAAACATTGCATAGCTGAAAACAGTGGCCGCAGTCATCTGCTCAACTTCGTCTATACTTTTGTTCGTTTTAACAAACACTAAAGAAGAAAACACCACACATATTTGGACGGATCGACCACATTTTTGGTAGGGGGGGGTTGGTGGGGATTGGTGGTAGGGGGGATGGGGGGTGAAGTGAAAGCTGTAAATCTGCCTTTTCCCCAAACTTTCGCTTTAACACACATGAAAGTTAAAGAGCAACTGACGATCCAAACGGATGAAACTCTGTTTAATCTCTGAGTAACTGGAGCTCATTCACAGGTGACGCACCGCGCAGCTCTCCCTTGTTTGTTAACAGAGAGATGCCTCTGCTAAGCCGGTGGTTGACCACCCCAGTTGCCTCCTCCCTGGTTTACTTTGTCAACTCCTCCTCCTCCTCCGCCCCCTCCCTTTTTCCTCTCCTCAAGCAGCAATTTGTCCTGGCCTTGCAGAGCTCTAAAGCCTCCCTCTGACACGCAGTAATCCACCAGGATCTAGCCGCTGCCGATGGGCCGGAACATGCCTAGCCCTCCACCTGTGTGTGTTAGTGTGTGAGTGTGTGATTGTTTTTGTACATTTTCTGGACAGAAACATCTTGACGTATACAGGCATCTAAAAAAGTTTGAACAGCTCCAAGTTTTGTTGATTTTGTAAGTGAAAATAAGTGAACGCATCCTCCACAGAGAGGAGTGTGTGTAAAGAGAACCTTGAATCTGGCTTTTTTCTGCACAGGTTCAAGTCATTTGAGTTTAACACCTTGGAAAAAAACATATTTCCTAAGCCACTTATTCCTCTGGGTCGTGGGGGCGTGCTGTAGCCTATCCCAGCGGTCATTGGGCGGAAGGCAGGATACACCCTGGACGGGTCGCCAGTCCATCACAGGGCAGACATATACATTCTTACACACACTCACACCTAGGGGCAACTTAGCGTGTCTAATTGGCCTGACTGCATGTCTTTGGACTGTGGGAGGAATCGGAAAAACACAAAGTATAAACTATAAAATGTGCCATAACTTTTGCACAGAGCACAGTTAATGTCTATTTTCCCCAATATGTTAAATTCAGCATATAAACAGTAATCGTGTACTGAAGTGTGTTCTCTGTAGAGGATGTCACTTATTTTCTTATCAAAAATCAACAAAACACAATTGGAGCAGGGTGCCTACACTTTTGCACATGACTGTATACAGTACAGTGCAAAAGTTCATTTTATTTCTTTCCCATCAAAAAAGCGGAAAATACATTTAACATTACACAGAAAGCTCAACAGCTGTATAGTTTAATGTTCAGTGAGTGACTCTTTATCTTCATTCCAGCTTCCATTCTCTTCAGGAGACTCACTTTCAGTTCCTCAAAGAATCTGCAGACACACCTCCAAAGTTCAGTCTTAGATGTTGGTTGCATTTTCTGGATCCAAGTAATCTCGAGCACAGAACGTTAAGCTTTAAGTGCTGTTTACCTGACAGTGGTAGTTTTGGTGTCTACCAGGTCTTCCAGGTGGTTGTTTTTCTCTGAATCCTTTAATGATTTTTTTTTTAACTCCAGTTTTAGAAAATCCTTCTTTTTCACTTGTTTTCCTTTGACTTTCCTCTTCATTATGCGAGTGGATTATTTTAATTTTCTAATCTTCTCAGAAATATGCATCTCCTGAAAAATGCTTAAAATAGACACTTGTCCAGTATTGTATATAAGATATATCATTACATATGTGTGATTACATGTATATAATATATTTGGGATGGGACATTATTGTATTATTGGTACATCTAGGTACTGTATTGTTAATACAAACATGTGCCTACCTAAATATAACACACGAGACATTATATAAACATATTTACATGTATACAATACACATAAGACATTAAGACATATTATATATAGATAAGGTATATATTTTTAAACATCTTTACATATCTTTAATGTGTATGTGTAATATGTGTGTATATATATATATATATATATATATATATATATATATATATATATATACACACACACACACACATGATGCATGTGTCACTGTTAGAACAAAACCTTGTATCTCCAAAATATGTAATGGATGTTAACGTAAAAACATATATTTACGCATATATTAAACATACTCATGTCCTGACAAGTTATGAAAACAAGCCAGTGTGTGTGTGCTGTAGTCTCTGTAAAGCAGCGTTGGTCGTTTTCAGAGCGTCTCAGGAGTGGAGGCACTCTGATGATCCAAAACTCCATTAAGTTCTTAATGTTTGACAGGCCAAAGTTGAAAATTCACCTCCTCGTCTCCTCCGAAATGGATTCTTTCCCACATATCCGGACCTGCTGCATGTAAGTGACTTCATTTTTTTCATGCCAGAACATTTTTTTTTTTTTGCTATGAACACAATGAACAATAGGTTCTTTATAATGTGAATTAGTTTTTGGTCCAGTTTGACTTCACTACAACCACCTGTGACATACATTATTATATATGATATTGTATTGTACTTGTTGTCAAAGGGCTTTTCTTTACCATTAATAATCAACAGAACATGCTCCCAGCAACATTCGTCAGAGTAAAGAAGACACAAAGCTGGGAAAAAAGTGTATCTAAGTTGCAGCGTCGCACACGAGGGTGTCCGTTGTTTGTGTGGACGTTGGGCCTGACTCATTTGCCCATGATTTGTATTGAGGAGAGGGCAAATTGAACCTGAGTGTCGGCTGCGCTTAATTGTCATCGCCAATTAGTGCATTGTCGGCGGCCACAATGGCTCCAGTGTAGCGAGGGGAACGCTCTCCTTTGTGCTTCTCCAGTGGCCCACAGGCCAGTCAGGACTCATTTAGGGTCCTGACAAACATGAGGCCCGAAATGCCATTGGAGGGGAGGAGGAGGAGGGAGAGAGGGGGAAAGAGAGACAACAAAAGAGCGGTTAAAGGAGAAAAACACAACAGAGGGATGGAGCGGAGACAATGGTGACATGGAGATGGAACGCGAGAGTCCAGTTCTGCTGGAAAGGGCGGCCTGCTGAACGTTGGCCTCGACCCCCACTCCGCTCACACGGACAGCGGACCCCGCTGATGTCCACCTGCCAGACAGAGACACTCCATTTCATGCTAGTA